GAAAACGATACCATTGTCGTAGAATGCCAAAATCAAATTAAAAAGACGAAAATGTAAAGAAATGAATTTGAGGACTAGATTATTCGCCAAACCATATTCTGTGTCATTTGTTCAACCTTGAAAACCACGTAGATTTCGTATTTGAAAGCAACTTTTTTTTTGCCAAACTTTTTTTTATTTGCATGCTCGCATCAGTTTTGGGATTTCCTGAGGATGTCATCCATATAATGAAATTAACATGGCCTTACACAAAGCCTTCTATTCCACGTTATTGTAGATCCTGACGTTGGAGGATGGTCGGAGGGAGACTCAGGATGACAAACAGGGGAAGATGTTACTCCACACAGAGTACTCCCTACTGTCTCTGTTACACGACCAGGAGGGAGTGGTGCATCATCACGGGCTTTTCATGGTGCACTCTTTGTTTATCTGTTTATTTTATGGTCCAAACAATTGCCTTAAAATAAGTTAAGGACCTACAGAAATACGTATGAAAGGGAAAAATATCTTGATGAAAGAAATACATGTAAGTAATATTTAACAAAAGATTTCATTTTTTCTTATAAATTTTTATATCTTAAGTCAACCACGATGTAATAGAAAAACTTAAGAAGAGAGAAGAAGCATGTAAAGTATAGAAATGAATTATACATGTAGAGCACTGCATAGTTTCCTTATCACTTATTTTTAGCTGCATTTAGGCCACGCCAATTTAATTTCTTGGTTAACGGATTTTTCTAGAAAAGCAATGGAGCGGGCAGGCAAAAAAAAGTAGATAAAAACAGGCCTAGGCATCCTATTATGGCCCAAAATGGTACAATAGGAGCCAGGAAGTCAACACACTAGGCTGGTTCAAAATTTAAACAATGAATTTTGAACTTTTTATGATACCATTGCATTGAAAGATAGAATAACTGTAACAACTAGAATGAAAAGGACTGTTTTCAACTGTTCAGGGCAAATTATGAGCATTTTACAGTTGATTCTAAATTTTAATTTTGATTTGCAAATCAGAAAAAAATGAAGCGGGCGAATCCGTTAACCAAGAAATTAAATTGGTCTGGCCTTAGCCCCAATAGGGCAATAGTCATCATTTTCTTTGTCATTGTTCATTTGGCCCCACCAGGAGAAAGCCTGGGAACCCCCTACAGACAGTTCCACTAAACACCTGGCAGACAGACCAGGGAGGATCAGGAAGCGGCTGTGTCTGGTGCTGGACTGTCTGTGTGCTCACGACTTTAGCGACCAGACAGCGGACCTCATCAACCTGCAACACTACGTCATCAAGGAGAAAAAACTGTCCGAGAAGGAAACTATCGTCATCTTCTACGACGTGGTGAGAATAGTGGACGCACTACACAAGGTAAGACTAAGAGTGTCTGACTTTTGTTCCCTTTTCGACTTCCAAAAAATTGTCTTCACTTTATTTGCATACCAATCAATAGTTTGTGCTTACAAACCTGCATTTCTCCTCTGGTCTCTCAGTCACTGACGAAAGCTAGTGGATACTAGCTGAAACGTCTGTGACCATTTCCAAATCATATCCAGTTGCTTGAGTAACTGCTTCTTGGCGTAAGAGTGTGCATGATCTTTATAGGAACATGATAAGCGACGGTCACAACCCGCCGTACGTGCTTCTGCGTGCTGTCTACGTGCAAAAACGTGGGCAAACGTAGGGCATCCGTGCGTGGTGAGTACCACCTCCGTACGGAATCCTATGGATTTGGGAGCACGCAGACACGCCGTAGAACTTTAAGTGCGTGTAAAACTTTTTCTACGTGCAGTCTGCGTATTCACCACCCATGCGTGCGAGTACGGGCGACGCGCGTGCCCCGTACGCGTCGTGCGGAAGAAGCACGTGTGAGTACGGCCTCCTTACGGTAAAGTTGCAATCGCACGGAGATCGTGCGTTGCAAGCATGTACAACTCACTTACCACTTGCGCAACGTACGATGCACGCAACCGCTCACGGCCAGACTTGGGGTGCAGACCATACTCTTACACTTTGTGCACCCGTGCGAGTGACGTGCGAGTGACGAGCGTAGACGCCACTCCTTCCCCACGTTTTCAGAAAAAAACGTACAATGTAGCAGACGTAGCCTCCCAAAAAACGTACAGAAAAAAAGCACGTACGGCGGGTTGTGACCATCGCTATAGGAAGGAGGGCTTGAAATCCTTTTATCTGCATACCTGCACTGCTGCATGTAACATTGAAAATTACCTGCACCAGATAAATTTTACCTGCACGGTGCACCACTCAGAATTTAGAAAGTATGGATCATACTAAAAACTGTTCAGAAACCATTGCCAAAAACAATGTTCATGTAGAAGATATTCACGTTATATTTCTTCTTCTTTTTTTTTCAGAAAAATATTGTACACAGAGACTTAAAACTGGGTAATATGGTTCTCAATAAGAGGTGAGTAAGAGTAAGGTATATGATCATCAGCATCAAGGTGTCAAATATACCAAAATACATGAGTTGTTCCATTAAGAGTATTTGCTGATGTTGTAAATTCAATTCCTTCAATGCAATAAGTTAACCAAACTATTCTGCCTTTCATGGACAGCCTTTCAGACTGCTCCCAAAAATTAAGCAGTGTACCTAGAACTTTTTCACAAGAGCACCTGGTGTTCCCATCAAAACTTGCATGCCCTATTAATAATAATGTCTGTATCATGGACTACAAAGCTTAAAGTCATATCATAACTGTATGTTTCTTTCTTGATGTGATCACGATAATTCCACACTACGCATTTCTTTTTCTGTGTACAATGTGCTGTATACATGTACGTTCAATACGAGGATCTAGCTTCATAGTGTTGCACCTAGATTTTTCTTGATGCGCCAACATTTTGTTGGTTGGGGACACCAGTGCTTCCAAGTAAAAAACTTAGCCCGGTAGCTTTTCCTCATCTTAACTTTGCTTTTGTACAGTAAACGGTGCACACCCCAGTTTTTCAGCGACAGGGGTCCGCGATAGTCCGTGCTAAAAAAGTGACGAAAGGGTTTTGAGGGTCCAAGTTTGAGGTGACATTTCTCATAAACTGCAACGAAATATCATTAAACATCAACATGGCTGAAGAGTGTAAGAAATGGTCATTTTGGGGTGAAAATTTCTTTTGGCTCCGAGCCTTACTTCCGGGTATCCTTGCGCACCAAGTGTAATCCGCCCGTTTGACCTAGATTTCGCTCTGCGCCTTCCTAGGAGTGAATTTGCAACCCCTTGCGCCGTGGACGGTTTACAAAATTACAGTGTACTAGAATTTTCTTTATAATTTACTCGGGTATAGTCAAGGCTTGGGTCTTTCTGCCAGCATCAGTCATCTCTGCCGGAAATTTTTTTTCTATGGGATTATCCTACGCGAAAATTTTATGCATTAATTTTGGAGTGAAAAAAATGTTTTTTTTCCGTTGATTTTACCAAACTTAAAAAGGTTGAAGAAACCAAACTCAGCTGGTCTTGTAGCTGAAGAGATATCCTTTTGTCCCATATACAGTTATTCTCCTTCCGAATTATTCCACGGCAGAGATGGTCGCTAGAGTTGAGGGTGTGCAGCTTTGAATAGAAATGCCAAGTAAACTGGGGTGTGCCCCCTAAATGAGATCACATATCTCTGAAATCTCCTTGTAACTCTGCAGTATTATCTGTGTTGTAGAACCAGAAGAGTGACGATTACTAACTTCTGTCTGGGGAAACACCTGGTGTGTGAGACAGACCTACTGAAGGACCAGCGGGGCAGCCCTGCCTACATCAGTCCTGATGTTCTCAGTGGTGAGGAGCGTTTATGTACATCTGTAGTTGTTGAGTTCTTTGTATGTTTGTTGTGTGGTTCTGTTAAGACTGGTGCAATGGCCAAGTGGGTAGAGTGTTTGCCTTGCATTTGGTATGTCATGAGTTTGATCCCCGGCCAAGTTAGATAAATGATCATACAAACCTCTACATGAGAAATCCTTAGACCTGGGGGCTCTGGGGGCATGCTCCCCATGGAAATTTTAGAAATGACCCCCTCAAATGCTATTTTCTGCATTTTGAGGGGCAAATTTTGCTGGTAGACTAAGCTTTTTTTTTTTAACGGTGTCGCTCAATGCAAGGCCATTTGGCCACTTCTAGGCATAGAGCTAGCCTGTAACTGTAACAGCAACTCTTCTCCCTGAGTCAGAAACATCCTCACAAGTAGTGAGGACTAACTGACCCAATAGGAGAAGCAGGGGTTACGAGGCTGGTCGGGAAAATTACCTACCCCTTTTTTGACCAAAGTGACCATAGCTTAGTTTAATGTCATCTCTCACCGATCTTTACACACCAATTTTTGTCCATCAAACATGACAGATTGGGCAAAATTTTTGTCTGTCAAGAGCTGCAAAATTCTGTCAAATGATTGAAAGATGGATGCTGGCTACAACAGTGAATGTAGAGACTTCTGAAGTTGTTAGTAGAATATTCTACAATCAGTAACTTTTGAAAGTTCTTCAGGGTGCCAGTCATGTCATCTATCTGCATATCTTTGACCATTATAGTGACTTTTGAAAGGTGACAAAAACACCTACCTCCAAATTTTCGACATCCACTTGATCATGGATTGAGTCTCGCAAGAACACCTGACTAGATGGAGACTTGTGCGGGTCTTCTGGCCTCACTGCCTCCTTAGAGACAGGGGTAAGGCCCAATCTTTTCTGTCTACGGATATGGCAATATTCTGTGACAGTGACGTAGTATTCAGTGGATGAGTTTACGGTCCGCGGCCTACTGTATGGGCCGCGAGCAATGACTTTGAAGTTACAGGTAGAATACAAGTACTGTAGATGCTTCCTCTCGCTATTCGTGCATCTATAATAAGTCCTAAAATGCCCAAAATGTTTTAGGGGATAAGAAACTCATAGCCTGACTAATCGTGCTCCTGGCGGCCGGCCGCCCCGAAGTTGCCGCTCCCCAATATTAACCTCCGGCCGAGAGCTTGTGTAACACAGGCTAACAAACTCCGAGCAGCGAGTTATTTTAGTTAAACTTTAGGAAAGGTTGGCTGAGCTGGGCTACGTAATCCAAGCGCCACGGGTGTTCGGCTATACTTCCTGGCGATGTGTATAGAGCCGTCCCGACAGCGCCGTTCCGACAGATATTGGACACGTCGGGAAAAGCTGTGTATAAATTGGGCCAACCGTCATTACTGTTAATCTTTACGTGACTGATAAACCTCTTTAATGTAGTTTATTTTGCCGCCCCCCCTCCAGGTCGCCCGTACCTTGGGAAGCCCAGTGACATGTGGGCCCTGGGCGTGGTTCTGTTCACCATGCTGTATGGACAGTTTCCTTTCTACGACAGCGTGCCTCAGGAACTCTTCAGGAAAATCAAAGCCGCCGAGTACAACATACCCAAGTGAGTCATGTCTGTACATTGGTCTTTGAAAAAATAAGTATATAATCATGAAAGTTCATCTGAGTTGGTAAATTACACTCTACAATAATTGTAGACATCAGAAATACCTGCACAGCTCCAATTTTACCATCCAAAATCCAACCTGCCATTGAAAATTCCTTCGTAATCAGAACCTAGCATCACCACAGAATGAAGAGAAACTCCTAACAGATCGACAGTTCTATGCAGTGTTCAAGTAGAAAACAACAATTTGAAGAATTTGTCCAGCTTGAATCCAAACGATAGAGCCAAATGGTGGCCCCAGCATCAGTGTACAAACATGGAAAATCCTTAGGAGGTGGGGAACTGTTTGTTAAAGCAGATAGTGAGTGAGTGTGAGTGAGTGTCTGACTGAAGTGTTGTTCTGTTTCAGTGATGGCCGAGTGTCTGACGCCATCTCCACCCTGATCCAGAAGCTGCTAGTACTGGACGCTGACACCAGACTGTCCGCTGCACAAGTACTGGACTACCTCAGTACAACTATAGCCACATGGTCAGACTTGGTTTACATCCTTGTGGCCTTCATTGGTATCTAATCTTATACTTAGAAGTAGTGGCTTTGGCAACATTTTGAAATGGGGGGTACTTCCCAAGCTGTGTTAAAAAGAGGGGAAAAAAGTGTCTGTATTCATTGACAAATGCACTGTTTTAGCCAAAAGCTTCATGTACAGTGTATGCCACTTCACATATGGGTGTTCTTTGTCACATAGATAATTACCTTCGCCAAGAAGGTTATGTTTTCGTTAGCGTTCGTGTGTGTGTGTCTGTGTCTGTCTGTCCGTCTGTAAACACGATAACTTGAGAAGGCTTGAATGGATTGACTTAATATTTGGTAGGTGGGTAGGTCTTGATGAGACCTGGAAATGATTAGATTTTAGACCCCCTAGTGGATTCCTATGGTACTGCAGCTGAACTTCTGGTTTTGATATCTCATGACCTAAGACATTCTCTCTGTGTGGAGACTGAAGTGTTACTAAAATAGTACAGTACTGCTTCGTAAAATTCCATTCAGTATTTCTCCTGTGCAGATTTTATGCTACTACAATTTTCACCTCAAACAAGGCTCATGCAAACCACTCACATGTTTTGGGTTACAAAAAGGGACTGTAAATTAAGACAGATGCTTCTTTACCTTAGACTTGAAAATGTTTAAGGTTGTACCAATATGGGAAGCATTCACAAGGAAGCTTGTCCCATATACTAATATGTGATGTAGTGCTAGAAAAGAAGCTTTCAGCCTGGAACTTTCTCCTCATAGATGGAGTATGTAGGAAGGAAGGGTGATTTGCTTTTGAACATTTGGAAAAATACTTTAACCTTAAGTCAAACGTTTTACAAAATTAATTAGTTTTAAATTTATGACTCTACTTATTTAGTCGTCAGTTTTACTAGATAGTAAGATTGACTGCAGATGGTCGGAGAGCCGCTGCACAGTAGTGGTAAGACGTCCACCTGTCGCCTATGCACGTCCTGAAATAAAGATCAGCATTATCAGGGATGAGCTGTAGAATGGTTTTAGTTCAGACATAGTTTGTGACAGGAGCAATGATGGTCTGCCGGTTATTCTGATGGGTCCTTAAGCTGTGCCATGTTTACTAGATAAAAGGGTTTTAGGAAATAGTAAAGATGCAATAAGTACCTGGAGCAGTCTGGCAAATGAAGTTAAGAGACCGCTGGCAGTCATAGTCGTTCCAGTTGTATTTCCGGGATGAGTATGCGGAGTAACGGACGCAATCTTCGTTGTCCTGTTGTCCTTTGTTGTTCGGTTCTCCTGGCTCCCAGGAGTTGTACGGCCCAAGTGCAGAACCGTCCATCCACTCAAACCTTCCCTCTTCGCGCTGATCGTGCAGACCGATCCAGTAAGCTGCCCAATTGATGACCAGGGAGCCCAGGAAGGCGTTGGTCTCGGCATCTCGGGGCATGGCGAGGGTGCCGCCATCTTTACCACAGGCCGCGGCCGCTTTGTCGAAGGTTTTCTTTGTGTTGAAAGCCTTGTAGCAGATTCCACGCCATTTGGTGTAATCTTCGGGGCAAGATGCTGGAAAACATTGTGTCAAGTTTTGTATCAGCAACATGCAGGCAAAGGATCATGTTGAAAACTATGACATTTATTTATTTATTGATCTTAAAAAGGGTTGGGTGGTACCTTCAGTTTAGGACAACTGATTTCCAAGGTAGCCAACAGAACAAGTTACAAAGGACATACTACAATCAAATAATTAAACATAGAGATTATAAATAATATGAACAAAGAGTACAAATAGTCAATCATTGGAAACAAGACATGTCAACCAAAACAAATAGTAAAAATCATAAGGCATAATCATAGTCCGTGTCATTCTAGTCGAAAGATAAGTCAGTCCACGAGGTCAGGGATCATGTGTTTAGTGCTCTCTTAGGGACTGTACGATATTTACCGGGGAGGGGGCCGGTCGTCCGGGGGTAGCGTAAAAAATTTTTTCCTAGGCCCTCCCCCCAGGTCCAAAAAATTTTTCCTAGGCCCTCCCCCCGCCTCAAAAAATTCTTCCTAGGCCCTCCCCCAGGCGTGAATCATAGAGAGTGAAATTTCGTATGGGGAGGACGAGATTTTGATTGAAAATTTTCCCCGCATGAAGCGCCGAAGGCGCCACTAGAGCCTGAGTAGGCCCGGGTTTTGGGCGGGGGCATGTCCCCCCCGGAAAAATTTTGTTTTGAATTTCAACCCATGTTTTGCATGTTGAGGGGCAAATTTGGCAGCACAAATTTCGCTGGTACATCGAGCTATTAAAGACAGTAACGTTACGGTCAGTCAGTGTAATCGAAATAAATCTAGCCTACCTTTCGTCCACGAACTTCTTCCGCGTCAATTTTATTACAAACAGGGAAACAATATTGCCAAGTTCCGTGTTGTTTTCAATTAACTTTGGAGGGACATAGATATAAATGTTAAAATAGTCCTTGGTTTAAAAAAACAAACAAATTAATAAATCCGTCGACATCCGACATCCACGCAAGATTTTGAAGAGGACTGTGGGAGATTTGTGCGAATACATAAAAAAATAATGATAGGGATGGATATTATTGGAACGTAAAATTCTGCCGATTCCAATGACCGGCAAATCGCTACGATATGTATGGGACAGACGTTAATCATGTTTTGAGAGTGTATAAAAACGTTGTAGAGTTAAAGGGATCTTGGAAAAAATTTTTACCTAGGCCCTCCCCCAAATTAAAATATTTTTTCCTAGACCCTCCCCCCGGCTCAAATTTTTTCTTCATAGGCCCTCCCCCCTCAGACGACCGGCCCTCCCCCCCGGTAAATATCGTACAGTCCCTTAAAAGCATTCAATGTGGTTGCTTGTTTAGTCTCATCATTTAACAAGACATACATGAAATAGATGCTTCATCAAGAATGAATCTAACAAAATCTACTAAGAAAACCTATTTACGTAAAGTCTTCTCAATCTCATGAAGACGCTGCTCCAAGGTGGCAGTCTGGCTGCGCTCGTTGTCCAGGTCGCGCTTCAAGGCGTCAACAGTGGTGGACAGTTGACGCATGTCGACTTGGGCGCGCTTCAAGATGTCGTGGTCGCACTTCAAGGTGTCTTGGTCGCGCTTCAAGGCGTCTTGGTCACGCTTCAAGGCGTCAACAGTGGTGGACAGTTGCCGCATGACGTCTTTGTCGCGTTTTAAGGTGTCAACAGTAGTCGACAATTGACATATTTCCTACAAACGTGTAATACACATGTCAAAATACCGAACGTAAGAAACAAACTTATGAAAAACAGCAGCAAATATTTCGTTCCCTCTTAAAAATTTTATGACAATGAGAAAAATTCCTGGACAACAGGTTTTATAGTACAAGACTGTTACCTGTTTGTTGCTGAACGTCAGAGGGGCGAGTCCCACCGCGCCCAAGCTCAGTAGCACGGCGATGCCGGCAGCCAGACAGCTGCGGCGGGCGCGGAGGAAGCTACAGACACCCCGGCGGCCGCTCGCTCCACCCGGATACGAGCGGTCTGGTAGGAAAACATATTTTGCTCAGGTTATCACTTACCAATTCAACATGTTCAAAATTAATAAATTATACAAGTTTTAACTTGTATATTTATTAATTTTGAAAATGCCGCATGAACAAAAAAGGCCAGGCATTTAACATTTCATCCTTCATTATGCGAATCGCTCTGAAAGGTACATAATATATTATGCATAATGATCCCCAGTTTCAACTAGCTTACACATGTCACAAGTCAGAATATGATAAAATACCGGGTCCCTTAATTTACCATTAGGAACCAAGGAACAACGGTATTTTCATATTAATTTTGCAAATGAGGCCCCGATTCTTACATTTGTACCCAACGACCCTATTTTTCAGGACTGATGTGAGAAACACAATAATTTTTTCCAAAAATGAGGCCCGTTGTGCATGTGGCAGGAAAAGTGTACCTTTGACGAAGCTGTAAATTCCACCGCACCAAATTCGGGGCGAGAACGTTCGCGTACCCAGCTGATGAATTTTACATGCGAGGCGTACAGTAAGAGTAAGTAATGAAGGGTTTTCTTGTCATAAATTTATCAATACAGCAAACTATGCAATAAATTTATCAATACAGCAAACTATGCAATAGTACATGTAGGTTAACATACACTTGGAATATTTTGTACTGATAGTACAAATATCCACTGTAAAAAGTAAGTATGAAAAGTGCTGGTAACCTGCAGACGCTGTGTAACGTTTCACCTCCTCGGCGTCTTCGTACGTGTGTGAAGACGTGTCCTGGTCTTCCCGCTGGTTGTCAGAAGCGCCGTTGCCATGGCGGACACGCCCGCGTGAACCACTCTGACGGACGGGACGGGGTTCAGGCGGCCCGCTGGTTTGTGGGCTGTCGGGGCCGGAGAAAGGCAACCGGACAGGCTCTGCCTGCTCGTACATTTCGGCAGTACTGTGCACACTGTATTGTCACGCAGTGTATAACTGTGCAAAAATTCATGAATATGGCAACTAATACCTTAATTAGTCTGACAAAGTAAGGCTACATTTGCCCATATTTGGAAGAATGACATGGGATGAGGTGATGTAATAGCATTTTGTATTTATGCAAGAGCCAGGCTCATTTTCGTGGAAAAAGAAGTAATCTGGGCTGGTAGGCAGAAACATCAAACACATCTATTCAAACAGAAGAGAGAATTCTTATTGTAATCGATAAAATCTTGTGACTTTTACAGACATGTGCGCATGCACTGACGTTGTCATACATAAAATGTAACAGACATGCCCAAGCCCCCTCCACACTTCTTTGGTTGCCGACAAAATAGTAGATATTGTTTACACTAGATGGCAGTGGCAGCAATACTCATGTTTTCTGTTTTCTTCCTTTTGAATAACATTTTTGAAGTGAAATAGAGGGATTTATAGGGTAGACATGTCCGTTCTATCTCTATCTGCATGTCATACTTTCACCCCAGGTGATATTCTATTTCTTACAACACAGATTGGCAATAAGAATTGTTGCCATGGCGAAGGTTTCTTGTTTGCTGTTTGTTCACGTTTTTAGTCTTGTGCATTACATTTGGGCCCCCTAGCAGCTTCCTATGGTACTGCAGCTGAACTTCCGGTTTTGATATTCTCTCCGTGTGGAGACTGAAGTGTTACTACTGCTAACATTCCATATAGTTTTTCTCCTCAGAGTCTGCAGATTTTATGCTAGTTTTTATTACAATTTTCACCTCAAACAAGGCTCATGCAAACCACTCACATGTTTTGGGTTACAAAAAGGGACTGTAAAGACAGATGTTTCTTTACCTTAGACTTGAAAATGTTTAAGGTTGTACCAATATGGGAAGCATTCACAAGGAAGCTTGTTCCTTATATGTGATGCAGTGCTAGAAAAGAAGCTTTCAGCCTGGAACTTCCTCCTGAGAGATGGAGTATGCAGGAAGGAAGGGTGATTTGCTTTTGAACATTTGGAAAAATACTTAACCTTTAGTCAAACGTTTTACAAATTAGTTTTAAATTTATGTCTACTAATTTATTTGGCAGTTTTACTAGATAGTAAGTTTGACTGCGGATGGTCGGAGAGCCACTGCACAGTAGTGGTAAGACGTCAACCTGTTGCCTATGCACGTCCTGAAAAAAAGATCAGAATTACATGTATAAGGGATGAGCTGTAGAATGGTTTAGTTCAGACATTGTTTGTGAGAGGAGCAATGATGGTCTGCCGGTTATTCTGATGGGTCCTTAAGCTGTGCCATGTTTACTAGATAAAAGGGTTTTAGGAAATAGTAAAGATACTAACAATAAGTACCTGGAGCAGTCTGGCAAATGAAGTGAAGAGACTTCTGGCAGTCAAAGTCGTTCCAGTTGTATTTCCGGGATGAGTATGACGGGGAGTAAAGGACGCAATCTTCGTTGCCCCAAACGTTGTTCGGTTCTCCTGGCTCCCAGAAGTTGTACGGCCCAAGTGCAGAACCGTCCACCCACTCAAACCTTCCCTCTTTGCGCTGATCGTGCAGACCGATCCAGTAAGCTGCCCAACGGATGATCAGGGAGCCCAGGAAGTCGTTGGTCTCGGCATCTCGGGGCATGGCGAGGGTGCCGCCATCTTTACCACAGGCTGCGGCTGCTTGGTCGAAGGTTTTGTCTATGCTGAAAGCCTTGTAACAGGTTCCACGCCACTTGGTGTAATCTTTGGGGCAAGATGCTGGAAAACATTGTGTCAAGTCTTGTATCAGTAACATCAGGATCATGTTGAAAACTATGACATTTATTTATTTATTGATCTTAAAAACGGTTGGGTGGTACCTTCAGTTTAGGACAACTGATTTCCAAGGTAGCCAACAGAACAAGTTACAAAGGACATACCATTAGACAATCAAATAATTTAAAAATAGAGGTAATAAATAATATGAACAAAGAGTACAAGTAAGTCAATCATTGGAAACAAAACATTGGAACCAAAACAAATAGTCAAAATCATAAGACATAATCATAGTCCGTGTCATTCCAGTCGAAAGATAAGTCAGTCCATGAGTCAGGCAGGGGTCATGTGTTTAGCGCTCTCTTAAAAGCATTCAATGTGGTTGCTTGTTTAGTTTCATCATTTAACAAGACATACATGAAATAGATGCTTCATCAATCAAGAATGAATCTACCAAAATCTAAATATAAGGAAAACAATTTACTCAAGGTCTGCCCAATCTCGTGATGACGCTGCTCCAAGGTGGCAGTCCGGCTGCGCTCGTTGTTCAGGTTGTGCTTCAATGCATCAACAGTGGTGATCAGTCGGTGCATGTCGTCTTGGTCGCGCTTTAAGGTGTCAACAGTGTTGGACAGTTGACGCCTGTTGTCTTGGGTGGGCTTCAAGGTGTCAACAGTGGTGGACAGTTGACGCCTGTCGACTTGGTTGCGCTTCAAGGGGTCAACAGTGTTGGACAGTTGACGCCTGTCGTCTTGGGTGGGCTTCAAGGTGTCAACAGTGGTGGACAGTTGACGCCTGTCGTCTTGGGTGGGCTTCAAGGTGTCAACAGTGGTGGACAGTTGACGCATGTCGACTTGGTTGCGCTTCAAGGCATCTTGGTTGTGCTTCAAGGCATCAACAGTGGCAGACAGTTGGCGCATGACGTCTTGGTCGTGTTTTAAGGTGTCAACAGTATTCCACAATTTAGATATTTCCTACAAACGTGTATACACATGTCAGAATACCTAACGTAGGAAACAAACATGAAAAACAGCAGCAAATATTTTGCACCCTCTTAAAAAGTTGATGACAATGAGAAAAATAGCTAGACAACAGGCTTTATAGTACAAGAATGTTACCTGTTTGTTGCTGAACGTCAGAGGGGCGAGTCCCACGGCGCCCAAGCCCAGAAGCACGACGATGCCAGCGGCTAGGCAGCTGCGGCGGGTGTGGAGGAAGCTACAGACACCGCGGTGGCCGCTCGCTCCACCCGGATACGAGCGGTCTGGTAGAAAAGCATATTTCGCTCACTGATAATCACTCACGTCAACATGTAAATATCAAATTCACCCATACAGCAAAATATACAAAAGTTGGGAAGTGTTCATATACCCTCTCTACAGCAAAAAAGCTCTTGTGGTAGTACAAATATCCATTGTAAAAAGGCAGGTATGAAAAGTGTCGGTTACCTGCAGACGTTGCATTACGTTTCACCTCCTCTGGGTCTTCGTACGTGTGTGAAGACGTGTCCTGGTCTTCGTTTTCGTACGTGTGTGAAGACGTGTCCTGGTCTTCGTTTTCGTACGTGTGTGAGGACATGTCCTGGTCTTCCCGCTGCTTGTCAGAAGCGCCGTTGTCATGGCGGACACGCCCGCGTGAACCACTCTGACGGACGGGGCAGGGTTGGGGCGGCGGCCCGCTGCTTTGGTGGCTGCCGGGGCCGGAGAAAGGTGACCGGACAGGCTCTGCCTGCTCGTACATTTCGACTCTGCAGACAGATATGCAGTGCAACAACCAACGTCAAAGCTATAGGAGCATGCATATACACAAGGATACCATGATTAGTCTGAGAAGGAAGAATATTTGGAGGGGTGACGTGGTGTGACGTCTTGCCTATGGTATTTTGTTTTTCTGCAAGAGCCAGACTCATTTCTGTGGAAAAAGATGTAATCTGGGCTGGTATCGAGAAACAGCAAACACATCTATTCAGACTTACGGGAGAACTCTAAATGTCATATATATAGCAATATACATGTAGCAGAGATGCCCCCCCCCCCTCCATTTCTTTGGTTGCCGACAAATTGGTAGAAATTAGCTAGAAGGGGTTTTAGGGGCAGCAATGCCCATGTCTTTTTTTTCCGTCCTGTTGAATATTATTTTTAAGTGGAATAAAGGGATATCTCCTTTTGAAGTATGACTTCATTTGCATGATTTATGAGGAAGTACTAGAATAGCCTTTTTTGTTAACATAAGGCTGCCATTGGGTGGAGAATATAATCAACTTATATAGTACATGCAAATGAGGCTCTTATTTGTGAAATCGATGATTAAAATTATTGTATAATTTGTCAACCAGAAGGGTTAACATCATTTGGTAAAGGTATGAGATCATGGAACTCTGGTTTTCTTAATGTACCCTAAGGCCACAGCAAGTAATTTTTGCGGTTGACATCAGGGCACGCATTAATTTTCACCTGATTTGGGAAAAAACAATAAAAGTGTGTTGGATATTGGATCTACCAGCCTGATGAAACTACATGTATTTTTAGAAGAAAGTTTGTTGCCCTCTGAAAGAAATTACTCCTGATCTGCATTTTCCTTGACATTATTTAAATCAAGAAGCCACTCGTGTTTATGAAATAACATTGTTTTTGTCCCCAGGCAGTCGATGTCGGCCATCACAGGCCCACTACAGGTGGTTCCTGACATTGATGACCAGCGGGAGGGGAAAAACATCAGCAGTGATAAGAAATCCTGGGACTTGGACCAACCTGGACAGGTTTGTTCATGTTTAGTATAAATTCATACATGTAGGTCACTTGACATTAGTTAAACCTACTCCCAGCTGCTTAAAGACCAAATGACACCAAAAAAGTCAGTAAAATACATACAAATATCGGAAGTGTACATACAATATAGTCACTTGAAGTTTGTATCAATCATGATGACTGAGAAATTAAGTTTGTACGGGCTTCTAAAAGTGGATTTTTGGAGACTCTCTAGCAAACTTCCCAATTTCCAACTTCCAACTTCTCAAACTCCAGGCATCTCTATTTGCATCAGATTCTCTGTTTTATTTTTGCATTTCTGTGCTTGTTCCTGAGCTGACATCACTTGGTGACATCAGCCAAGGAAAAAATACAGATACGCAAAAATAAAATGTACAGATGCAAATTGCCTGCCAGGACTGACTTCTGCTGACTTTTCCAAGGTTGGGCACTAGAATTTCGAATGTAACAGGAGAACCGTGCATATTTATTGTAAAACTCAGTGTCTGTTAGCCAGGTAATATTAGTTATGTCAACTACAATCAGATAAGGTCATTTTTTGGTGTCATGAGCACTTTAAACCCACAATCAATAGGGATTGGGTAGCCAAACGGTGTGTTAATGGTTAAAGCCCCTGTCACACATAGTGGAATATTCAGTATAACCTCCCAAATACTAGCCAAACTCCCCCCAACTGTGGTTACGGTTAGTGTTGGTTGGGAACAAGGTCTGCTGTGGTTGGTGAGGTCAGCTACTGTTCGGCTGCACTAGTCGAATGTTAAAAATGTTTAAGAGGATCCACACCTTGAGCATGTTAAAGATCCCACAACACTTATCGAAAAGAGCAGGGGTCCTCCCAGGTGTGAATGGTACAGCCTGGTCTGAGGTTAGACATCTTGAAACGGTGATAGTCACCTGTTATGTCAATCCCTCCATAAATTTGGTAAATCTTCATACAATCATGTAAATCATAAATCTGGTGAATCCTTTTTGGAAGGTTTTTCCTCAGTAACATTTCATTGGTTCTTTCATGTTCCCTCAGTCTCAGGGCGGTGATTTTGAGGCTAAGATGCAGCACGCTCACGAGGAGTACCTGCTGAAGGGAGACCAGAGGAAGGTCCTGCAGCCGCGCAGACGTCTGGCCAGCCAGCCTGTACCGGTACGGCGCCTCAGTCAGGACGCACGCCCTCTCACCCCTGCACAAGTACAGGCCTTCAGACATCTTCTACAGCCTAGCCAACAGTAGTTAACTCAAACTGTGGCTAGTAGCCAACAGTAGTTAACTCGAACTGTTACTAGTAGCCAGCAGTAGCTAACTCAAACTGTGGCTAGTAGCCAGCAGTAGCTAACTCAAACTGTGGCTAGTAGCCAACAGTAGCTAACTCAAACTGTGGCTAGTAGCCAACAGTAGCTGACTCAAACTGTGGCTAGTAGCCAACAGTAGCTAACTCAAACTGTGGCTAGTAGCCAACAGTAGCTGACTCTAACTGTGGCTAGTAGCCAACAGTAGCTAACTCAAACTGTGGCTAGTAGCCAACAGTAGCTGACTCAAACTGTGGCTAGTAGCCAACAGTAGCTAACTCAAACTGTGGCTAGTAGCCAACAGTACCTAACTCAAACTGTGGCTAGTTTGTCCTACAAACTCTTTTTATCGTAAAAACATATGAAAAATGTTATGGAACAAGTTTAGTCGGCAATTTCAAACACATTACAACTCCAGTCTTTGTCAAGGAATGAGCAGTCCACCAGTTCTGTGATGTCACGTTATGCAGATGACACGTGACTCAGTTTGCTTTGGATGTGGTTTGTAGAAAGTCTGTGGCGCCCCCCGTCTTTGTTGAGGGATCATGGTTCTCCCACCTCACAGTACCACCTTATAATAATGTGTGAGCAGTTGTTGAGTATTTTTCTTGAGAATGAAGTTCTCTAGTGTAGTGTCATCCAAGAAAACAAGACTTCTCCAAGATTTCAAAATCTTACCAATCAAACTTCTGTGCCTCTATGTAACGTATTAGATAGGTGTGTGCAGAATTTGTAATAATCATTTCTTAATGTTTGCTGAAATTCTTGATATTTAATGTGTTGTATTGAACAATGTAAAAAGATAGTTGTAGGTATTAGTACATTATATTGACCACAACTGTGATGTATGACTTGTACAAAGTAATATTCTAAAATTTATAATGCTATATGTCAGTGTTGCATGGAACTTCTATGAAAGCAATCATCGTAAGTGCAAGCCCTTCTTTAGGGTCCCACAGAAACATATTGTGCTGCATGTAAACATGTAAGATAATATAGTATTTTCCAATGTATGAATCATGATAAAGAGTTATATGCTGCTGTATACAGTAATAGTAATTTAACCGAAATAATGACTGATTTGTAGAGAAATATGATTTTATGTACAGCATCAGTCTGTAATTTAAATATCACTGTAAACTACAAAAAATAATCATTGATATGAACAATATTTGGTGTCCAGAATACATTCAAATACATAACTTATAAGAAATTTTGGCTTGGCCTTGTGACAAGTCTTTGGACTATACATGTGTGTACTGAGTACTGGACTTGTTGTACAGTAGCTAACTTATTATGATGAATATTGTTCTGTGTCAGTGACAGTTTGGACAACCAAACATCCAACCTCTGTCCCAGTGGTAATTCTCATACCTGTTGTATGGAAAATGTCCCATTTGACCTTCATGTATAGCTGATGGATATTTGGTTGTGAATCCTTGTGTGTCGGAAATAAAAGTCTATATTTGTATACAATGTACGGCATGTACATTGTAGAGTGTTTTTTTACAGGTTACGTAAGGCCACACCAATTTAATTTGTCGGTTCTCAGATTCGCCTCTTCATTTTTTTCTGTTTTTCAACAACAACAAGAAAAAGATTCAGGTTCTGAATCAACTCAAAAATGCTACCCCCAACAGTCCTTTTCTTCCTAGTTGTTACAGTTTTGCCATCTATCATTCATTTGGTTTGATTAAAAGTTCAAAATTCAATGTTTACATATTAACTGATTGTGTTGACTTCATGGCTCCTTTTGTAGCATTTGGGCCTATAATAGAATGCCTAGACCTGTTTTTATTTTCCCTGTCGCTTCATCACTGGTAAAATCTAGGCTGCAAAGTATAAGGTAAGTTAAGGCTGCCTTACATTATCTATCATTGCCATTTCTGTGAATTCCTTAAAACATCTACTGTTAGTTTGTGTAACATTACGTAGTGCTACAATCTGCGTAAAAAGTGGGCTTCATTGCGTGTTATCTGCTAAGTCCTGATGGTATAGAAAACTGTTTTATTGCGCCGTTCTTATACAAACAGCCAGCAGAATTATGAAGATACCCGTTTTCAATACACATGCTGCAAACTAAAGAAATGGCAGTCCTACGAAAATTCTCTTTGTAATGTATAAGCGCTTTATATCGACGAACAATGGGTGTGAAGTACGTGTTTTCGTCCATCGTGTGCCACCGGATCAGTGGTAATTGGCTACTCTACAAGTGAAAGAACCGGGTCAGTGGGCCTTGATAAATTATTCATGAGTCGGTCGCCGCTAGAAATCTATTGGATGGCATTCAGTGACGTCACTCAAAAAATCAAGACCACAGCATGTCCAGGACAAAAGATACAAAAACCGTTCTGCTGCAGTACTAAGGTCAGCCACCAGGAGGCCCAAAATCGACCTTGACCTTTGCCTACCTAACACCTACCCACATACCAAATATCATTATAATCCATTCAAAGGTTCAAAAGTTATGCTGGCCGCAAATGTCCGGAAACACAGACACACACACAGACACACAAACACAAAGAAAGGCCAAAAACAACAACTTTTTCACACAGACGTCACACCCTTTGCACGCGATCAAACATCCTGTGAATACTTCCTCTCTTCACAGAACAGATCACGGGTGAATAACGAAGTATATGAACCGCGCAGATCAGTGACGACGGGCTCAAGTTACGTAACTTATGTTAACTTAGAACCCCTGAGTTCTTCTTGGTAGTCCGCGGTAAAAAAAAGGAAGTGACGAAATGGCTTTGAGGGCCCAAGTTTACATTTCTCCTAATCTGCTGTGAATTAATATCACATAACAATATGGCGGAAATGCATGTGAAACAAGTGTTTTTAGTGAAGATTTGGCCTGGGTCCTTCCCTCCGCAAATCCTTCCGTTCCTAGTGTGATCCGCCAGTTTGGCCCAGATTCACCTCTTTCACGCGGTGTAGGGGGATTTCAGACCCCTCGTACTGTGGATGATTACAAAAATGTAGTACTAGGGTTTTCTTTTAAAGTCGACTCACGTATACTCAACGTTTATGTCTTTCTGCCAACACCAGTCATTTCTACAGGACATTTATTCTATTGAAAAATTCCTAAAATCTCGGGAGCTATAATAGGTTTGGTAACCAGGCTAGTACTTATGACGGACAATCTGCCGTTGGTTTTGTAAAGTTTCTGTGTAAACTTGCAAATGCATGCTGTTTGAAATTTAATTTCTTCTGCGCATGCTAACTTCACGCGAATACGGCAGGTGTACATATTACAATGACAGGGCAGATTTCTTTCAAGTTCTTCCAAGAAAAGATGTGGCCATGCATGTGGAGACAGGATGTACCTGTAGCGGCTTGACTTCGAAGCTATAAAAGCGGGTGACTTCACCCACGCCGGCAGTTTGCGGGGAGACGACGACTCGTGACTCCAGATCAAGACACCGTCTTCTAGACGCCACCGACGGACACTTCAGAGACAGAATCTTCAATCTTCATCTTGATAACCAACTGCAAGGTGAGATACGGTTTAAATTTGTAAAAAAAAAAATAGCATATATATATATATATGTATATATATAGTTCTTAAGATTTGGATTTGGAAAGTTTTTTGCAAGTCTAAAATGTGACTATGTTGAATAGACACTCGCTAAGTTTTTGTATTGGCGAAAAATGTATTACCCTTGCCAAGAAGTTCGCAGGTTACGTTTCCGTGGGCGCGCGCGCGCGTGTGTGTGTGACTGTGTATCTGTGTGTCTGTCAACGGCACAACTTGCGAATGCTTGGATGGATTATTTTGATATTTGGTAGGTGGGGAGGTCGTGACAAGGAGGTAGATTTTAAACCTAATTGGTCTTGATGAGAGCCTGGGTCAGCGGCACCCTTCTTGGGATGTTTTCACAATGCAAACAATGGAGAAAATCTGGAAAATTGGGATCAGTGGTGGTTGCTATGTTTTGCTAGGGGAGCCGACACCCACTTTGTCTTCAGGTTTAGGCCACACCGCCTTAATTTTATGGATGACATCCTCTGAAGTCCCCCAAACTAGTGCGCGCGGGCGAATAAAAGAAAAATCCGGCCAAAAATAAAAATGCTACTAAATCACAGGAATACAAAGCTGGTGTTGTGAATTTACTGCAGTACATACCAACATATACAACAAGCCGGCACATACTGGCTTTTGCCGAAGTTATAAGTCGGCAGTCTCGGCACTGTTCGTATGTACTGAGTTCTTGAGTCGTGGAGCTTAGGTAGCCTGGGTGCCCGGCTCCGTATTGTTGCTAACTACCATGGACTACCCAGACCAGAGCCTCGGTGGACATGATCTTTTTTATAAACATTTCACAAAGACACTTTTAGAACAATAAATGCTAAATTCTGTACCTACACGGAGCCTACAGCTATACATACTAAAATTTCCTCTTCACATTCGAAAAATCCCTTCTATACATTCTAAAAATCTCCCCCCATACATTCTAAAAATCACCGCCATACACTCTAAATTTGAGCTCTGTACATTCTAAAAATCACCTCTATGCACCTCTGTTAACTTTTAAGTTCTCGTTTGAGAAATTCTTGTAATGATTTTAAGGAAAACTGTGCAACATTTAAGGAAACTGTGCAATATTATGTGTCTGTGAATTGTATCACAATGTTATGTGTTTAATGTTTCCCTGTATGTACGGTCATAATTCATGTACACTTTGCACAGCGGACATTCAACATTCGACATTAAACACATGGAGAGAATTTGTGGTCCGTTGTCTGTATGTTGAAAAAGCTGCCTGCTAAAAGTCAAACTAGGTCGTGTCATTTTCAACACGTTATCTATAGTAAACTTGGTCAAGCGAAGATCCCACCAATACGGGGACGCCTAAGCTTAATATCCTGTGGCTTTCTGTTGTTCTGTTGTGACAAACTTATCAGATAAGACCCTAAGTATGTATAATATGTAAGGTGTGTTAAGGTGTTACGCTTAGCTATTGTAGTGCGCAAAGGAGTGCCGTTTCTATAGGTTATTTGTTTGGTCATGTGGAACAGGCCACAACGAGTTTTTAGAACAGGCGAAAATCAATGCGCGCGCGGATGTCATCCATAAAATTAATTTGGTGTGGGCCTTANAATTTAAACCTATACATATATATATATATATACACACATGTATGTATTTAGCATATATATAGTTCTTAAGATTTGGATTTGGAAAGTTTTTTGCAAGTCTAAAATGTGACTATGTTGAATAGACACTCGCTATTAAGTTTTTGTATTGGCGAAAAATGTATTACCCTTGCCAAGAAGTTCGCAGGTTACGTTTTCGTGGGCGCGCGCGTGTGTGTGTGTGTGTGTGACTGTGTGTCTGTCAACGGCACAACTTGCGAATGCTTGGATGGATTATTTTGATATTTGGTAGGTAGGGGGTCGTGACAAGGAGGTAGATTTTAAACCTCATTGGTCTTGATGAGAGCCTGGGTCAGCGGCACCCTTCTTGGGATGTTTTCACAATGCAAACAATGGAGAAAATCTGGAAAATTGGGATCAGTGGTGGTTGCTATGTTTTGCTAGGGGAGCCGACACCCACTTTGTCTTCAGGTTTAGGCCACACCGCCTTAATTTTATGGATGACATCCTCTGAAGTCCCCCAAACTAGTGCGCGCGGGCGAATAAAAGAAAATCCGGCCAAAAATAAAAATGCTACTAAATGACAGGAATACAAAGCTGGTGTTGTGAATTTACTGCAGTACATACCAACATATACAACAGGCCGGCACATGCTGGCTTTTGCCGAAGTTATAAGTCGGCAGTCTCGGCACTGTTCGTATGTACTGAGTTCTTGAGTCGTGGAGCTTAGGTAGCCTGGGTGCCCGGCTCCGTATTGTTACTAACTACCATGGACTACCCAGACCAGAGCCTCGGTGGACATGATCTTTTTTAAAAACATTTCACAAAGACACTTTTAGAACAATAAATGCTAAATTCTGTACCTACACGGAGCCTACAGCTATACATACTAACATTTCCTCTTCACATTCGAAAAATCCCTTCTATACATTCTAAAAATCTCCCCCCCCCCATACATTCTAAAAATCACCGCCATACACTCTAAATTTGAGCTCCGTACATTCTAAAAATCACCTCTATGCACCTCTGTTAACTTTTAAGTTCTCGTTTGAGAAATTCTTGTAATGATTTTAAGGAAAACTGTGCAACATTTAAGGAAACTGTGCAATATTATGCGTCTGTGAATTGTATCACAATGTTATGTGTTTAATGTTTCCCTGCATGTACGGTCATAATTCATGCACACTTTGCACAGCGGACATTCAACATTCGACATTAAACACATGGAGAGAATTTGTGGTCCGTTGTCTGTATGTTGAAAAAGCTGCCTGCTAAAAGTCAAACTAGGCGTGTCATTTCAACACGTTATCTATAGTAAACTTTAGCCTGACTAAATCGCGCTCCTGGCGGCCGCCGCCCTAGGTGGGGGTCATTAACCTCCAGCCGAGAGCTTGTGTATACACAGGCTATAGTAAACTTGGTCAAGCGAAGATCCCACCAATACGGGGACGCCTAAGCTTAATATCCTGTGGCTTTCTGTTGTTCTGTTGTGACAAACTTATCAGATAAGACCCTAAGTATGTATAATATGTAAGGTTAGCTATTGTAGTGCGCAAAGGAGTGCCGTTTCTATAGGTTATTTGTTTGGTCATGTGGAACAGGCCACAACGACTTGATTTTATGGATGCCATCCTCTGACGACCACCAAACTAGTGTGCGCGGGCGAATAAAAAAATTCCGGCCAAAAATAAAAATGCTGCTAAACCACAGGAATACAAAGCTGGTATTGTGAATTTGCGGCAGTACATAGCGACGTATACAACAAGCCGTGGACTGACTACCCAGGCCTAGAGCCTCCGAGGACGTGATTCTTTTTTTTTTTGAGAACAGGCGAAAATCAATGCGCGCGCGGATGTCATCCATAAAATTAATTCGGTGTGGCCTTAGAAATACCATCTTCGGCGCACTGGCGTGGACATGACAATTAGACTGGTTTGTTTGGCGTTGCACGCAAGAAGCTTTGATCAGCATGTTGCCTCAGCACGTGTAGCATGGATGTGTGGATAGTTTATGTCATAGACTTCCCTTGGTAGGTTTAACAATGGTATACAATGGTATTAAACATACACCATGATAACAGCCCAAATACATTGAATTAAAAAATACAGGTAAATGTAAACAGCCATTGACAATAACAAATTGAGTTAACAATACTTTTTACCCTCAAACCACCGTATAGGGTCAAAACTGACCCCAGGCGTATATAAATATGCGACATTTTGACATCTCTTGTCGGAAACAAAATTCCTTCTATGAGTTCTGTTTGTATGATGTGTCTTATAACTTCTCATACGTTTTTATTGAGCTTGGAACATTGTTGATTCAGTTATGATCCTAGAAAGTTTATGAGTGGTCCAGTGGGTCAAAACTGAGGGTGGGCCGGCTATGGCTAGTTCGGAGGTGGTTAGATGGCGG